ACTGTTTCATGGGGATTGCTATCACTTTAGAAGTCAGAATTAAAAGTCAAAATGATCTTGACAAACTGGAGAAATGGTCTGAATTAAATATGATGAAATTCAATAAGGATAAATGCAAAGTATTACACTTAAGAAGGAATAATCAATTGCACAAATTCAAAATGGGAACTGACTATCTAGGACAGTGTTTCCCAATTTTATAAAATTAGTTGAGCAAAAAAAAAAGGGGTTAGGGAAACAGGCAAGCAAAAAAAAAAAAAAAAAAAAAAACCCACCAATCTCCTGGCTTGCCTGCCCCTAAAACCAGGTTCTTGCAGAGCCCTTACTTTCACTTTGCGGAACACTATTTGGGAAACACTGGTCTAGGAAGAAACCCCGCAAAATAGGATCTGCAGGATACAGTAGATCACAAACTAACTGAGTCAACAGTGTGACACTGTTGCTAAAAAGTGAACATCATTCTTGGAGGTATTAACAGTAAGGGTGTAAGCAACTAGTCAACTAGTGATGTGACTAGTCCCTTCCCCCCCCTTTCCCTTGCTGCCTCTATCAGAGAGAGGCAGCAAGGAGGGGAGCAGGAGCCAGTGCTGGGGGAGCCAGCTTAAAAGCCAGTTTCCCCCCAGTACCATCTCCGCCGGGGGCAGAGGAGGTAGAAGCACAGTGGGAAATAGTGTGAGCAGGGACTTAAGCAGTTTCCACTTGCGCCAGTTCTGCTGTGATTATGCTTTTGAAATGTACAAGAGTCGCAGGGGGACTCTTATAATTTCTAAGTCTTAGGCACTGCAGAGAGTGCAGAGGCAGTCTCCCACTGGCCCTGTGCTCCCTGGTGGGCTTCCACTTTTAGTTAATTAATCTAAATTTAACATCCCTAATTAACAGTAGTGTTGTAAGTGAAGCTTGAGAAGTGATTCTTCCACTCTACTGAGCACTGATAAGGCCCCAGTTGGAGTACTGTGTCCAGTTCTGAGCACCACACCTTGGAAAAAAATGTGGATAAACTGGAGAAAGTCCAGAGGAGAGCTGCAAAAATGATCATAAGGTCTAGAACAGCAATTCTCGACCTTTCCAGACAATTGTACCCTTTTCAGGAGTCTGACTTTTCTTGTATGACTGACATGTCATCTCACTTAAAAATTATTTGCTTACAATATCAGACATAAAAATACAAGTGTCACAGCACATTTTGTTACTATAAGTTTGCTTATTTTCTCATTTATCTATATGAAAGTGTAATTTGTACAGATTTTGCTAGTTCTATTTATGTAGCCTGTTGTAAAATTAGGCAAATATCTATATGAGCTGACGTATCCCCTGGAAAACATCTATGTAACCCCAGGAGTACATGTATCCCTGTCTGAGAGCCACTGGTTTAGAAAACATGATGTGCTAGGAAAGATTGAAAAAAATTAGGTGAGTTTAGTTGGGAGAAGAAAAGCCTGGGGGGCGGGGGAGAGTGACATGATAACAATCTTCTTGTATGTAAAGGGTCATTATAAAATGGAGAGGGGCAAATTGTTCTCCTTAATTATTGTCAGGGTAGTTCAGAACTGGAACAAATTACCTAAGGAGGTTGTAGAATCTCTGTCATCTGAGGTTCTGAAGAACAGGTTTGACAAACTCCTATCATGAATGGCATATATAATACTTTGTTCGCCTCAGTGCAAGGGACTGGACTATTGAGGACTCTTCCAGTCCTACATTTCTATGATTAGAAAATAAAATGGTATTGTTTGGAAAATAATTCATCCTTATTAGTTCTCAACATATACAGCAGAAAACTTAGTAGCAGTGAAAGCCCCAACTTACTTGTTATCATACAGTGTCATACAACTCAATGGATCAGTGACAAACACAGTGAAATAGTCATAAATATACAGTAGGCACCACAGAATTAACACATGCATTGTCAATACAATTGTCAAATACAAGTAAGTACATAGCCAATACTCATAACTTCAAATACAAACATCATACATGTATATGAATAGTATAAACAGAAGCATAAATTTTTCATAGTCATCTTACTTCTCCTACTTCGTATTTCATGCAAACATATAACAGTGGCTGTAACAATGTTTTGTATGTTCATCTAAAAAATGTAATAATGTCACAAGTTTCCATCTCCCAGGATCTCTTCATAATTCAGCATTTCCAATGGTAATCTGTCAGCCTCCTTTTCAATTCCTCCTCTGCCTGATGAGATGAAGGGATTTGAAGAGGGCTTTGTGAGAGTTCAAAGCACTGGATAGCTTGAT